ATGTAGTGTGCTTATTATTGATTTTCCATGGACAGTAATACGCTCAGGAAGCACGTATGCCAGTTTTCGAAATTTAAGCCGACTATGAAACAGAAAATAAATTGATTAAACTTTAGTGGATATTGACCATATTTCATTATTTTTCTGCCTCGATAAGTTTACTTAAGTTTCTAGTGGCTTTATTCTTGAGCTTCCGAAAAGTACCACAGGTCTTCATTCGTATCAATGTATGTTAACAGCCATCGTCATGAATTTAGCTAAGATTTTAACATTTCAGACTTAGTTTTAAGACACAACTTTTACTTGCTAGGTCTAATGATACTAACCAGTTACTGAAACGAATTTAATTAGAGCGTAGTTTACATCTATAACATACTGAATAAGGACTGAGTCCTATAATCACCGAAATATGCAAGTATTCCATTTCGAAATCTAACCACGAACTAATGGCTTCATAAGCAAAGATGGATGGTGGCTAGCGATGGAATCTAGGATAAGTGTTTTGTCTTATTTGGAACTTGTCAGCTGGATGTACCTGCATCCCAGAGTTGATGTCCACTCCTGGACTCCAACCCAGTACCGTTTGCTTCAAACATCAATGGAAAGATTCAAATAAACACGTTGATATATAACACAACAATTCAAGATATTTTCATAAGAATTTGATAAATTCACCAACTACCCCCTCCGTTAGTTCACATAAATCTTAACGTTAAAACAGTTAAATCCATGTTAGAAGGGGTCTTTGTGAATATTATAGTAATTTTAGTAGTTAAGATCATGAGTCAATTGAAGCTAAACGACCATGGAAAACCTGGAAGCACTGGAAAGTAGAAATTGCCTATAATACAAAACAATTAAACATAAAATATTCAACATAAAAATGTTAACATTTTAATAGTTTGTAGTTTATTTCATCTTTTCTTGATCGTCACACAAATCCAAGCATTGAAAATTAATAAGTTTCAAGAATAAATCCAAGTCAGAATATACCTTAGCTCAAACTAATATTAATCAGAAGGGGTTTTGCGGAGATCTTAGAAATTTCAATAGTTAAAGCCATGAGTCAATTGAAGCTAGAATACCATGGTAAACCTTGAAGCACTGGACGGTCGTTTCGTCCTTGTGTGGGACTCCTCAGCAGTGCGCATCCACGATCCCGTCTCACGAGATGCTGACCCAGGACTTATCAGTTCAACCGGGTCTGTTGTGAAGTAGTAACTCACCGAAGACAATAGTGTACGGTTGAAGTTAGACATTAACACCGTTGGATGCCAGCTCAGGGGTCTAATGGCTAAGCGCTCGAGACTGATAGGTCCTGGGTTTGAATCTAGTGGGGGCGGGATCGTGAATACGCACTGCTGAAGAATCCCATACCAGGACGAAATGGCCATCCATTACCTTCAGGTTTTCAATGATGGTCTAACATTGGTCCGTTCATGATCTCAATTAAAATCCAACAATCTTCACAACCCTTTTCTGACAGCTCTAACTATAAATTCGAAATCCTTGCTTAAAACCAAATTATAAAAACATCTGTTAAAATAAGGTTCATCGGACTGATATTATTAAATAACAGAATCATTGACTATGATTATCGTATTTCATAAATACAAACTTCTGTTAATAAATAATAAAAAGAAATTTTCACAGATTGAACTCATGAGTCAGTTGAAGCTAGACCACCATTGAAAACCTGGTGGTCTAGCTTCAACTAACTCATGAGTTCAATCTGTGAAAATTTCTAAAAATCTCCACAAAACACATTCTGATAATAATAAAAAGAAAGTTTATAAACTCTTTCATCGATTTCAATAGTTGAAATCATGATTCAATTGAAGCTAGACCACCATGGAAAACCTGGAATCAATGGACGGTCGTTTCGTCCTAGTATAGGACTCCTCAGCAGTCCACATCCACGATCCCGCTCTCTCACGAAATTCAAACCCAGAACCTATCAGTCTTGCACTCGATTTTAATTCATTTATAAGTATTTAACAGAAAACCAAAAAAATATTTACGTCAATTTAGTTGAAAAATAAAAACTCAAAAACATTTTACATGTTTAATTTGCTTATTTATTTATTTTTTCCGGCAAAATTATTTTTGCATAGAAATTCATGTGAATAATAAATAATGTGATTACATCATCAATTAGGAGATGAGACTTATCATTTAATCACATGATAAATTGAAAATAATAATGAAGTTATGTAATTGAAATCCCTAAGAGTTCATGTATGACTTATTACCATTATTATTATTACTGCTATTACTATTACTATTATTACTGTCATTATTATTATTATTATTATTATTATTATTATTATTAATGGTCAGTGTGTACAGATACTCAACTTAAAATCATTATCATCAAAGTAACACCAAAAAAAACAACCAGTTTTCATTTTATAATTCTATCTAAACTACTCAGTTAGAAACTATTTAATTTCAGAAATACTATAGAATAAATACATTTTTTCAGAAATTAATTATTAAAGATTAACCAACTAATCACATTATATTTGTTAGTATGAATTATATTAATCATATGACTGATTACAAATGTAAATTTAATCGTTATTCATTTATATACCATTAGAATTATTGTATTAGTTCAAACAATTACAATTTACATCAGCACAATAAAAGAAAATACTAGAATAAATTTCTTTTTAATAAAAAAGAAAGAAATTCTAAATAATAATTTATGTATTATCTATAATTTAAATACTTATATAATACCATTAAAATGTAACTGATCCCTAGACAGACTATGCTTCAAGTGGAGTTGTTTTTATGTTAGACAGCAGATCACTAAATGTTAAATTTTACCAAGCCTCGTTAAGATCAAGGATCAGTCAGTCAGCTACAACGTAGGATCAGGTATATATATATATGTATTGGTCCAAGTTGCCATACCTCATTAACACAACAAGATGGACACCGGATTCATAAAAGTAGTTAATTCAGAGGTGGTAATATATAAAAGAAAGATTGCATGTAAGGATATAGTACACGAAGAAAGAATTAGTTCGTAGAAAGAAAGATATGAAGCGATTTTAATCTCTTAGTTTAAGGGAAGACAGAGAGTGTATACACCGACGCCATTGTGATCGATTCACAGCCATGTCACCAAGAGTCTCCAACCATCGGTTACGAAAGTCACGCGGACCCCAACCAAGTAGTCTGCATCTACCAACATGGCTCAGACTAGAAGTTAGTGACTTCAAGGACTGATGCCACGTTTTGGTTTGGCCGCCCGTAACTTTCTTCCAACCATCCCGAACACCGGTTAGCATTGCACGTCGTGATAATCGGTGTTCGGGCATACGTAACACGTGGCCCAACCATCTCAGTCGATGAAGATCCACAACCTCATCAACTGATTTACCATCATTCCCTAATACCCTGCGTCGAACCTCACTATTACTTACCCGGTGATCCCAGCAGACGCTAAGATCAAGGATAATCAACGTTGATTAATCATCTGCATGCCATGAAGAGCCCAATGAAGCAACGGTCCCATTCTTTACTTCTCTAATCTGTTGACTAATACATGCTTTCGTTCCAGTAAGATTCTATTTGATCTGTACAGTCGCCAAGGAAGCCAATTCATCTGATTATCACGATAATATGAACTGTGTTAGGCGTCAACCATAAGGTATGGCTTTAATGTAGGCTAGGAGTTCATACTATTTCCATTCAACTCAAGTAGACCCATCATCTACTTTTACATTGAAAATTCTTGTGTCATCAATAGGGAATTTTAGAAATATTCAAAAATTCCGTAAAATTACATTATCCCTAGTAATTCACACAAATATATGCAAATGAAATGGTATAAAACAAATAAACATAATAAATCACAAAGTTAATTATGGTAGTTTTGTTAAACTAATCTCTGATAAAATTTAGTACGCAGTGCAAATTTGACACTATAGTCTGATCTATTTTTGTTTAAAAAATCAAAGAAAATACTACTTCTAAATGTGTATATTTTCTTCAAATATAAACATAAAGGTTGTGCACAATTATTGAATTATCATGTTTTCATTGTTTTTATGTACAAAAAAAAGAGAATTAAACAGTCTAAGATTGTACCTTTAAAGAAAATAGTCTATATTTAGTACAATTTAGCTGGGTAATTAATTATCTAGCATTACTGAATGGTATTTTTGTCAATTTGTTATATACTGACCACAAAAAATCAATAAATTGCCAACCTAGTTCAATTTATTAGTAATTATAATACTACTGCGACAAGTGATTTATTTACATGTAACTGCCAAAGCAATTACAATGACAGAAATGTTTACCTTAGATCTCTTCAGTGTTCTAATAGCCCGTAGCCCAAGCAGAATAAAGTGATCAGTAATTCAATCTCAAGACATTAGGTAAATCCTTTGAAATTTTTCGAGATGATTGAAAAACAGATAAGTTCTAGCCATTCCGAAATTATTGAAGTTATGTTTTTTTTAAAAGTTGGTTTCTATAATACATTTATTTGTAAAAATTTATTTCAATCATTTTTAACTGTATTTGGATCTATTCTATACTACTCTGATATATCAATACCGAATCCTGACTAATTTCATTTACATGCCGAATATCAGTTGAAATCGAAATATGACAGGTTGTACGTGGTTGATGAGAACTTAAATTTAAAAAATCCATATCGTTCCTGTTCTTTTCAAGCTAATAACTTTTAGATATATTTTCTACCATAAGTCCACATAAGTTGAGAAAATCACCGGGAACAAGATAGAACTGAACAATTGTTTCGTTATGGTTTGGCGAATCTTTATAATTAATCACATAGAAACCAACCCCATAAACTTCTAGTCTCGTGACAATCACATTGCTTTGACCCATTGAAACACAATCTTATCGTTCATGTGAAGAACTTCGGGAAATTCGCAACACATTTCTTTAAACAACCTCTCGTTATCATCAATAAATAACCGCTTCCTTACCGGTATACTAGATTCATGATGATCAATAACGGGTATCATTATATTATCACAATCGGTAGCACTAGATTTTTGTAAAACTATACAGAGAACCGAATGAAATTAGAATAGTAAAACACAAGGTTTGAACTCATTAAGCTAGTAATATCATAATAACTAGGAACCAAAAAGAAACTGTATTCGAACTCTTGCAGAGTCATGTGTACACATTGTTAAAAAATCCTAAACTACGGTGAAAAAAACAGCATTCAATGGTTCCAAATAGTTCTACAACTGGCATATTATCCGTGTATAAATACAAACACTAGTGTATAGATAGAGTATTGTTCTTTTCTTTTTATTATTCTATATTTCAAAAGATGATGTACAACAGAAACAAAAATTACGAAACTATTGCATCAAATAGATTATACAAGCCTAGATAATCTAAAATAATCGTGTAAGTATACTTCCTTTTTTTATCATAAATATATTAGTAGAAAGGTGACAAAAGTTAAGTACCAAGAAACAAATATAAAGTGATGTAAATTAAAGGGAACTTTTTTTAAAAAAAATACAGATACAGTAATATCTGGCCGGATTAGGACGAGGAATTTTGTTTTGGATAAATAACCAAAAATAATTTTCTGTAAAATAAAAAAACTAATGATCTGATTAGGGAAAGAGATAGATAAGCAGATAAAGAAGTAAAACCACACCCCGATGTCCAAAAAGTAATTTTACATTATTTTTTTCAGGAAAAAAAACAATAACACAGTTGTTCGTTCATACGCCAAAAGAAAATACAAAAAATCAATAAAAACATAAATAAAGTCAGACGAACTAGAAACAAATGAAACACATGGAGATAAGAAAGAAAAAGGATATTTAAATCGACTTCTTATGACAAGCAATGTCCAAACAGGCTGAACCCACAACAACATCATACTATAGTTAATTACATCATATAAAGTGTTAGTCACGTGGCCAATTAAGAAGTTACAAATAAAACAATAACAGAGAATTGTGTACGTACCAAAAAACAATATAGGCATATAAATATTATTGTGTAATATCTAGTGTGTAAAGATGGACGGATACATTTGGGAAGGATTCAAATTAGATAAGTAAAATGATTAGCTTAAAAAATATATTGAACAGAAATACGAAATAAAATATTCTAAGAACAAAAATAATTCTAAGCAAAAATAGATTCTACATACAGAGAGTATGGATTTCGGCAATTAGTTGGTTAGCCAACAGTAAGTAAGTAAGTAAGGTGGTATTCGATGTCATTCAACCACCAAATAGAAGAACTACAGTACATATAAGGCGTTAAACTAAATTCTAATTTACCACAACTCTTTTATAGAAAAATATACGTGTATATCTTAATCAATTAATAATAAGTGAAAAGAAGAACGTGGAATAGTAATACAGAAACAGAAAATATATATATACTTAGTTATGAAAGGGAAAAATAATCACATATTGACTAGAATGGTAGAATAGAAAACAGATCTGATTTTGTTTTCGTATATGTCTGATTGATTAAAATAGAAAAATGAAAGAATCACTAGTGATCATTATGTTAGAAGAAAAGAAAAAAAGATGAATGGTTATCAATAACAGACAATAATAACTACAACAAAATAAACGCATGTTAAAATGGATTGTTTGGAGCGCTGAAATACAAGTGAAATGTATTTATCTCTTGATCCATAGTATAAAAAAGGGGGGAAACTGATAGATTTTATAATTACAGCATTTTTTTACACAGTTTCAAAATAAATTCGTGATAGACAATGATCTAGATTGTTCAGGTAATTTATTCGGTTCTTGTAAAACAGAAGTTGTTTTCCCAAGAGTGCATAAAGCTTGCATTACAGCTAGGAATGGAAAGAAAAATAGATTAGAATATATTGTAAAATATCATGTAGATATAATAGACACGAAGTGAAATAATAATATATTTGTATACAACATATGATCAAATAAATCTCTCCTGAAAATTAGCTATAAACGGCCTTCAATTAGTTAAACGCATTGGTCTAAGTTGTCTTACTACATCAGTACAGTGAGATAAAAATTATCAAATTAAGTACCAGAATAGAAGGAGTATATGTAGGAAAAAAGATAATGTTTTGAAAAGAAAGAGTGAGTTCATTGAATAATGGATAAAAGGTAATTTTAAGATGCGATTCCTAAGGGAAGACAAAAAGTGATAGCATCTACATCATTGTAGCCGATTATAGCCCATTGCACCTAACGTGTTCAACCATAGTTACTTCATGATCTACCGCAACGTTTTAGTTTGATCACCCTATCTTTCTTCCAACCTAATCCTAAACGTCACGTGCATGTTAAGGTAGGTAGTGGATAAGCATATGTAATAGTAATAAAGCGTCCCACAATCAGTGTAACAGTAATGATTGGTAAACATTGTAAAATCACTTAGTGAAGAAACTAATAAAACTTCTGACCTTAAACTGGTATAAATAATCAAATAAGTAATAAGTGAATTTCAAACAAAAACTAGAAAACAAGTCAGAGATAGCATTACACTCAATAAATTTGGGCCATACAATTGATTTCAGTGGCGCAAGAATCCGCCCAAAAGGTTTTGGTTTTTACAAAGAGAGACTGACAGAAGATATATATGACCAAAAAACGTTTTCTTTCACCTCCGATCCACTTACACATACATACAACTGTTATCTTAACACACTACTCTTTACACACTAGATTTCTAATATGCGCAAAAGCAAATTCTTGCCTTTAGCATTGTTAACATGATTGGATGATCTATTTAGTACACAGTTAACAAGAGAATCATGCACCAATTTATATTCGATAATTCTGATGTTTGAATATATTCCCTTGAAAAAGCTTGAACTAGATTGCTGAGCGAAACGTTGAACTTACTTAAGATTCAATCGCTAAGATTTTACAAATATAATTTTGCTTCTTAATGTCCTACATTAATTCGGCGCTCAACTACTGTGAAACTATTCGTTTAAATTTGGGGAAAAGCTCTTGTCAACAACAAATAATATTTTTTTAATATAAATTTGTACCATCAAGGAATCTTCACAGCTCCCCAACTTTATTCAAGTCAACAGCCACGAAAAATATAGATTAGCTTCATTCCTCAGAGTGATAACCATTAAGTATTATTCATCCAATTTATACTTAATGACTGCACTGAAGATGAACTTTCTATCTAATAAACATAAAGTCTGGTAATAACTGAGAACCAACAGCGATAGACGGTCATACAAAAAATAAAGTTTCGAGGAGGTAAAGGAGGGGAAAGCAGTGTAAAATTCTACAGTATGAAACCCGTCAATCCAGTGAAATTTAAGTCTAATAAACACAGTTGGTTGCAGAAGTTCACTTTACAATATATATATATATATATATATATATATATATATATATATATATATATATATATATATATAATGGATCTCAAAAGATGAACTGTTGGAAGATTTATTCAATTCTTATATATTAGTATAGAAGTTTTGTGGAGACTTAAATTTTCATGGTTTAAATCCGACTGATCCTACGTGGACAATCATTGGAGCTAGGAAACACTGGAAATCTATTTCGTCCGAGTAAGAGACTACTCAACAATGCATAGCTACGACCCTACCAAAGGTTGAACCCAAGACTTTCAATGTCGCGATAAGCGCTTAACCTCTAAGCTCCTGAGGTTTTCAATGATGTGCATGTCTAACTACAGTCAACCTCCCGTTTCCTGAGATGGAACACTGTCTCACACTCAGAATGGTTGGACTTCACTTGTTACGGCTTCTCGCTATAACGCCAGGAATCGTATCTCGATACGCGAACAATATTTCGAGGCCACCAACGATCAAAAGCCAGCAGTCTGCGATTCCCATCACTGTGAAAACATTTGGTATTTTTTAATACTTTGAGTGGATATTTGAAAATACTGATACTAACAGGTATTTGTCAAACGGTGATACAGAAGTGAATTTTAAACTTGATGATGAATACCTGAAGTGAAGTAACAAGGTGAACTGATTCCTTTATTTACCTAAATGATTCTATGTATATCGCATGGACCAAAACAATTCTCAAGTAGGTATAAAGTACATACTTCAATAAATATCAACTGTCACCAAGAGTTGTGTGTACAGTTCAGTAGCGCGTTCTGATCTGTCACATAATTTACTCACTACTATTAAATTTTACGATTTTATATTTTACAACTGTCCATGTTCAAGGCTGCATCTGACCAGTGTCAGCTGTTATATGTATTACTTGAGCGAATACCTCGAGAGCGCCTCTAGTTACATGTTTACCATATGTTGGACGGCGACTAACAGGATAAAACACGAGTCTTTATTTCACTGTAATATTTAGGAAATATGATAACCTTGAATTGATAGACTATTAAATCAAATTTATAATCATTTTATTCAAATGGAAATCATAATGCGTTATTTTCAAGTTAACAGAATGTCAGGATTTGTTAAAGTGAAATATGAAGTCAGTTATTAGAGTTTACTTGAAAAAATTACACAAAACAATAAGGTTTTACACAGACAAGTAAATAATTAGAAGTAACAAACAGTCATAGATTAGAATGCATGAATTACTTTACCCACATTTATTAATAACATTAGAAAACTGATGGTTTTTTGTTGAAAGGTAATATAAGTTTTACAAACATACCGTATCAATCTCTACACACACATACACAATATATAAATGCGTCCAACGGTTCTTTCAATAGTTAGACATAATTTACATGGATTATTTGTATTCTATAAACAGTTAATTTATCTGACTAGTTTATGCGCATGGTATGTGGCCAACTACTTATAATAATGATAACAATAATAATAAACACTTTTAGAAAAAGGCAAAATAAATCAAGAATATATATATACTAATGTACAATATCGTGGATTGATTAAGGTTAGATTGATACAACATTGGATGCCGGCTTAGTAATATAAAGGTTAAGCGTTTGCGCACGAAATAGAAAGCTCTGAATTTGACTCCCAACTGCAGGTTCGTGGATATGCACTGCTGAAGAGCCTCGTACTAGGACGGGATGGCCGCCTGGTGTTTCCTCGTTTTTAATAGTTGCTTAAACTTAGATCTATTCGATATCTTAGCACAATATACAAGACTGTAAGGCAAAGGAAGAATGTATTCTTTCTAAAATTCACTAATCTTTTTTGTAATGAGATAGATCAATAAAATTTCGTCCTCTCTCTCTCACACACTTCCAAGTGCTCTCTAATTAAAGATCAGTAATAAATATGGTCTCACAAGATATACGGTGACGTTTTTATAGAATAATGAAATAGTACTATCTGTTTGAAACTTGATAGATACTGACTTGACAACATAACTGAAATTAGTAAACTGCATAGAATTAAATCAAACAAGTTGTATAAGCTGAAATTCGTCTCAATAGCACAGATGTAATGATTTATAAACCCATTGTGAATTTTTTTATTTCGAAGATAATCTATATATCATGTAGACTAAAATCAACTAAAACTCCGCCTGTAGCTCTTCTAGAGTTACTGCCGGTCCCAAGCCCGGGTAAAGGAGGAGGGTTGGGCATGGGGTTAGCGTCCCCATCCCGTAGAAAACTAACTCGCTAAAAAACGCTAACCTGGAAAAAATAATTCAAACCACTGAAACTCTGCTCTGGGAGTTAGAAGGTCTTCATTTAGAAGAATTATGACGCTTCATGGTGAAAGCCGAGTTCCTTCGGAAGCCACGAGGCCGATGCCCCTTCTAACAACCAGAGCAAAAATTTGTATAGGTACATGGAACGTTCGAACAATGTGGGAAACCGGGAAGACCAGTCAAATAACAACGGAAATGAGGAGATACAACTTGGCAGAACTGGGAATCAGCGAAACCCACTGGACCCAAGCTGGACAGAAAAGGCTAGCTATGGGAGAGATGCTGCTATACTCCGGTCACGAAGAGGAAGATGCTCCACACACTCAGAGAGTCGCTCTTATGCTGTTCAAAGTAGCACGAAATGCACTTGTAGGATGGGAATCTCACGGATCCAGAATCATCAAAGCATCATTCAAAACAAAGAAGGATGGGATCTTAATGAGTATTATCCAATGTTATGCACCCACCAATGATAGCAACGACGAAATTAAAGATCAGTTCTACGAGCGGCTGCAGTCAATCATAGAGAAATGCCCAAGAAAGGACCTCACCATTCTAATGGGAGATCTCAATGCCAAAGTCGGAATAGACAACACTGGATATGAAGATATTATGGGACGACATGTGCTGGGACAGAGAAACGAAAATGGAGAAAGATTTGCAAATCTATGTGCATTCAACAAATTGGTTATAGGAGGCACAATATTTCCACACAAGCGTATACACAAGGCTACATGGATCTCACCGGACCACACTACAGAGAACCAGATAGATCATATTTGCATCAACAAAAAATTCCGAAAGACAATGGAAGATGTGAGAACCAGAAGAGGTGCTGACATAGCTTCAGATCACCACCTAGTTGTGGCCAATTTAAAACTGAAGCTGAAAAAGAACTGGACAACTGGACAAACAGCATTACAAAGGTTCAATACAGCCTTCCTTCGGGATACTGACAAACTCAATGAATTCAAGATGGCTCTCAACAACAGGTTCCAAGCCTTACAGGATCGACTGAAGGAAGAAGAAACTACTATGGAGAACGATTGGAAAGGCATCAAAGAAGCATTAACTTCAACGTGTCAAGAGGTTCTGGGCCTTAAGAAGCACTATCATAAGGAATAGATCTCCATAGAAAGACTGGACAAGATCAAAGAAAGGAAGAACAAGAAGACAGCAATTAACAACAGCCGAACACGAGCAGAGAAAGTCCAAGCACTAACTGAGTACATAGAAGCAAACAAGCAAATGAAAACGAGCATTAGAGCCGACAGGAAGAAATAAGTGGAAGAGTTAGCAACGACGGCGGAAAATGCTGCAAGAGAAAGAAATGTGAAACAACTATATGACACGATTAAGAAACTGGAAGGGAAATATAGTAAACCGGAGAGACCGGTCAAGTACAAAGAAGGCAGGCCAGTCACTGAAATTCAACAACAGCGGAACAGATAGGTAGAGTACTTCGAGGAACTCCTGAAAAAGCCGGCCCCAATGAATCCACCGGACATCGAAGCAGCACATATGGATCTTCATATAGTTATCAATTCACCAACGACGGAAGAAATCAGAATGGCCATCAGACTAATCAAGAGCGGGAAAGCAGCAGGACCCGACAACATACCAGCTGAAGCACTGAAGTCAGACATCGAAGTAACTACAAACATGCTTCACTTTCTATTTAAAAAGATTTGGGAGGAGGAATAGGTACCGATGGACTGGAAAGAAGGACACCTCATCAAGATTCCAAAGAAAGGAGATCTGAGCAAATGTGAAAACGACAGAGGCATCACACTACTGTCAGCACCAGGAAAAGTCTTTAACAGATTGTTGCTGAACCGGATGAAGGATGCAGTAGACGCCCAACTTCGAGATCAACAAGCTGGATTCCGTAAGGATCGGTCGTGCACAGACCAAATTGCAACACTACGGATCATCGTCGAACAATCAGTTGAGTGGAATTCGTCACTATACATCAACTTCATTGATTATGAAAAGGTATTTGACAGTGTAGAAAGGAGAACATTTTGGAAACTTCTTGGACACTACGGAGTTCCTGAGAAGATTGTCAATATTATCCGGAACTCATACGACGGACTACAGTGCAAGGTCATGCATGGAGGACAGCTGACAGACGCACTCCAAGAAAGGACCGGAGTCAGACAAGACTGCCTACTCTCTCCCTTCCTCTTTCTTCTGGTGGTCGACTGGATTATGAAGACCTCGACATCTGACGGAAAACACGGAATACAATGGACAGCTCAGAATCAATTAGACGATTCGGACTTCGCAGATGACCTAGCCATTCTATCGCATACACACGAACAAATGCAGATAAAGACAGCCAATGTATCAGCAGTCTCTGCATTAGTAGGCCTCAGTATACACAAAAGGAAAACCAAGGTCCTCAAATTCAAAGCGGAGAACAGTAATCCAATCACTCTTGATGGCGAAACTCTGGAAGATGTAGAATCCTTCACAAACCTGGGAAGCATCATCGATGAGCAAGCAGGTTCAGATGCAGACGTAAAGACGAGGATTTGCAGAGCAACGGTTGCATTCCTACAATTGAAGAACATATGGAACTCAAAACAACATTCAACCAATATCAAAGTGAGAATCTTCAATACGAACGTCAAGACAGTTCTACTGTATGGAACTGAAACATGGAGAACTACAACAACCACAATCAGGAAAGTACAAGTATTTATAAATAGCTGTCTACGCAAGATACTCAACATCCATTGGCCGGATACCATCAGCAACACTCAGGGAGTTGCTTTGGTGCTGTTCAATGGACTCCAACGAGTACTTACAAAATGAGAATCCCATGGACTCAGGATCATCAAAGCATCTTTCAAAACAAAGAAGGAGGGAATCAAAATGAATGTTATCCAATGTTGTGCACCAACCAATGATAGCAACGACGATGACAAAGACCAGTTTTACGAGAGGCAGCAATCGATCATAGCGAAGTGCTCAGGAAAGGACCTAACTATACTGATGGGAGATCCAAACGTTGAATTGGAATGGACAACACCGAGTATGAAGATGTCATGGGACGACATGGACTGACTAGGAGAAAGGAATGAGAATGGTGACAGATTTGCAGATCATTTGACTGACTACATGAAGGTAACTTATGTAAAGGATAGACAATATATACAACTGAATAAACAGCATTACGAAGGTTCAATACAATCTTCCTTCGAGATACTCACAAACTCGACCAATTCGACATAGCTCTGAACAACAGGTTACAAGCATTTCGAGATCTACTCAAAAAAGTGGAAACTACCATGGAGAGCAAGTGGAAAGGGATCAAAGAAACACTAACTTCAAAGTGTCAAGAGGTTCTAGGTCTCAACAAGCATCACAATAAGGAATGGATCTCTGTCGAAATCCTGAGCAAGACTCAAGAAAAGAAGAACAAGATGATAGCGATTAAAAACACTCGATCAAGAACAGAGAAAGTCAAGTCACAAACTGAATACACTGAAGCGAACAAACGAGTGAAAAGCAAATTTAGAGTCAACAAACGGAAATACGTGGAAGACCTAGCAACGACAGTGGAAAAAGCTGAAAGAGAATGAAATATGAGACAATTTTGTGACACAACGAAGAACCTAGTAGGCAAAAACAGTAAGTTACAGCAATCAGTCAAAAACAAAGAAGACAAGTTAATCACTGAGATTCAAGGAGAGAAACAGATGGGTAGAACACTTTGAGGAACCCTTAAATAAAACAGCCCCATTAAGCCCAAGGGACATAGAAACAGCACACACAGACATAACTATAGCTTTCAGTCCAACGACGATTGAAGTAATCAGGATAGCCATCAGACAAATCAAGAGTGGGAAGACAGTAGGATTTGACAATATACCAACTGAAGCACTGGAGTCAGACATAGAAGCAGCTGCAACCATGCCCCACGATCTGTTTAGGAGGAGGAACAAGTGCCATCGAAAGACTGGAAAGAGGTACACCACATCAAGATACCAAAGAAACGATTTCCTATCTGTTCTATTCATTTCAGTCCTCTGCTTCCAGAAGTTCGACTTCCGAGTGGTGTTACATACTACTTATATCTGTCAGCATAATCAGAATACACCACAGCTATATCGAGATATCTATGCAGGAAGCAAATATGCCAACAAACACTGATGAAAATTTTGTCTCGGATATCAACAACAGAATAATTTGAATCCTTATTAATAATGATATTAGATTACTATTTCATCCCTATTTATACTTCTTCAGTAGAGCATGAACATGTTGAACTTAAAATCACCAATCTTCATGGTAGGCATGATACTATTCTGACATAGGATAGGAAATGAGCGATATTTATTTTCAGTCAACTTATTGGATAGTGTAGTCATGATTCCATGTCACTGGTAGATAGGTAAGTACTTTACTCTTGACTTGATTGTTTTTCCATGGAGACCCCATAACTTTTCACTGAAATTTTTGGAGACCAATCTGAAACTGGTCATTAACCAGTGAGTGTTATTTTATTAAACGACTTTTATAGAAGTGCTCAATTCAAAGTTAATTTTACCACGTATTGTATTTATTTATTTATTGAAACATATAAACATTAGTACAAGGAGTTATTAAATATATATACACCACAGTTCATCATTTGATTTGTGTGAGGGTTAGAATACCAGGGCATTTCGGGATACGTATTGACATTTTTACATACCTTCGTTCGGTTTATTCCTTTTAGTTCTTCACTACTACTAAGAATTATTATATTCATCAATTTATTCTAATGTGCTTAAAACTAATTCAACTATTCCTTCATACACTTTTCCCTTAAATAAGTTTATTTCCTATCACAAAAGAATAATAATAATAAATTACGGTAAAAATTCGATACACATTTAATTGACTTTATAGAGGTAACTTGTATATTGCAGTAATAAAAAATATATAATTATTAAGAAAATGAAAAATTGACTAAACAAATACATATTTCATGTTGGATATGATTGGAAAAAGAGGATTGTCAATATGATTTGAATTTCGATATGGTGACTGCTAGTACTTACTTACCAGCAGCATCAAGATGTTCTCTGATAACGCTTCAGTGATTCAAATACTCATGTCAGTTAGTGTGGTGTTATAGGAGAAAACGTTTAAATTAAACATTAAAAGTTATACGTAACAGTCTATGCAATGATGGACGTAAAGATTAACTACACTTAAATTTTCACTCCTCTTTTAACAACTATTGTTTCAATAGTTGTTAAGCATCTTAAAAGTAAATACTCTTTAACCGTTAAACAGCAAAGATGTAGTCGGACTAGAAATTAACATTCCAAAGTTTTAATATTTTTCTAAGGAAAAAAGTCATAGAGAAACAAAAACTTAGCGGAAAAGTTGAAAAACAAAAGATTTAACAAGTACTATGTAGTCGAACATACCAGGTCTTAGTTGTACCAGGGAACAATTAGCATCTAACCAACCATATACGGATCGGATAAATTGATCACGTGAACTTGAAATTGTTGTATTGCAATAAGACTTGAAAATTCTACCAATTATTAAACTAAATATATAAAATTTCCAATTAACTTCAGTTTGTTGGAGCACATATGCACGAAACCATTCAGAATAGTAAGAATTTAAATTTTGATCTGATATTGACCTTGTAGATGATGAATTGGAGGGGGGCAATTTTTCACAAAAAAGGCTAATAGCAACAAAAAATAATAAATGAAAGAAATTGAAGTGTTATTGAACAAATATTTGAGTAAACAATTCTCGTCACAATTAAATACAGTAAGGTAACAGTTACTACCATAAAGAACTAGATAACTGACTTTGTTTAAGTGTGTAAATGTTTTTTAATATGTAGACCTGATGGTATACCAGACACCAAAGTAACTAAACTATTAGTTGCAATATATTGAGTCAAATCTTGATCAACAAATACAAGTGACAGGGTCATAACCATCTAACATGATGTATAGAACTCTTATTGAAGATCAGAACCTGAAAATCTCCATCATAGATGGGTAACTAAAAAAAGATATTACTGAGTAATTCCAATCAACTTAGGATGATTAAGATAGAAAGAAAATATAGATGCTCGCTCCTACAAAACATCTTAACATCTGTATTTATGATTGATTATTATTGTTGTTATTATGTGACAGTTTGTGTATTGAACGGAAGATGAAGATCCAATTAACGTATCTATGGTCTGAACGAAACCATATCATTTCCTCGGGGGTCAGTATAGGACAATTGTTCATAGTCTGAAAATTATAACTCAAATTAATATTTTGAAAGCAACTTTTGAGAGAATTGTATCCTGATCATTATCATACGGATTATGTAAGAAACATTTTAAAGATAGGCATGACAATCATTGCATTCATAAATGGAAGCACAAAACAATTTAAAACGATTCAGTTGGTTTTCTTGTCAAAATATCATCGAGAACCATGAAAAATCCAAATAAAGATTGTTTGAGCAGAATGTTTTGTGGTGTTCTAGTAATTCTAGCTCATTTTGATCTTTATATCACTACATGTATCCACGAGTCTAAAAACAAGGGATACCTAACTCAGCTAAAGTTCTAGAAATATTGAGTGAGCTAAATTGTTTATTGAAGGTAAAGAATCAACATTTTATTAACTTCATAGATCATCTCATCAAAACCTGTTGGTAGTGGTTAGAATGAACTGGAACACATTTTAGTCATTGTCAAATATAGCTGATACTTAAATCTCGATAGAATATTCTGATCACCAGGTTTCGAAATATTTACATATACTGAGAAGTGTTTGCCTAAGAAACGTACATGATAGGATTCACAATCCATTGGAATACCAACAAGCGATTATATATTACTTAGGTGTTTATCAAAGTAAACAGTTATTTTGTTCTCCATGTTCATGGTGTACTGTAAGTGCAGCTAATATTAATATAGGCTTTCCAGAGAAGTAACAGCTAGCCCTAGACCTAGTATGGTTTGATGTTTGATTCGAACAGTAAATGAAACCAATTCGCTTGCGTCAATCTGTTTTGGACGAATTGGTTGACCACCGAGACAAAATGTATTTGGAGCAATCTATAACATAATCTAATTACAGGGTTTTCCCAAGACGAGTAACAGACTCATACACATACACATCATCAGCAGCTGGTCGTAAGGTATAGAACACTAGGTAGCGAACTCACGACTGTATTAGTAATTGGTGCTGGTCGAAAACAGGTTTCTGCCTGCACAATATAACAGAAAATAGCTTCCATTATTCAGCCTGCTAACAAAATGTCCCGATCAGCCGTCCGAACGAATATTTTCTGTGTCTAGACACCAGGCATGAATGTTGAAGTCGTTCGTCCAAATCCCTGTATCTGCTAAGCGCATTTTATTGAGGCCAATCAGTTTATGGTATAATTTAGCCATTTTTACATCTGTTATATCTATATCCCTCACCAGTTACTTTTTAACCTGATTGAACCCTATAGTTAAGCATCACAGAAATGATCGTTATCAAGAATTCAGTCGATCAGTGCGGTTACCGTCTTAGCACTTAGCCTTATACCTGTTACTCAATAGGTATCATAGTGTAACATTTGAAAGTGAGAATTTGAAACGACAAAATTTGTTTCAGAATAGTCATATTAAGTAGTCATATAAAAACTGTATTTCTGACGTTTCGTTAACTAATGTAACCCACTTCTGAGTAAATAAATAACCGACATTAAATTAAGTTTAAAAATGTTATTTATTAGTAACTCTCTACCCAATGCTCAATTTATTTTAAACTATCAAGTCCAATCTTGGTATTGATACCTATCGAGTTATATTACCTTCGTTAGAGGAATTCAGGCACGTTTACCCATTTCACAATGGAACAGTGATCATATGACGACATTAAGATTTCCTTATAAGATGTTATAACAGTACTGTAGTATGATAACATCTTGAAAATGGAAAATGTACTGCCTTTACCCCCGATTGTAACTAACAATTCTTCTAGTTATAAAACCTTTTAAAATTTAATGAAAACTGACAGTCAATAAACCAGAGACGTTCGACACTAGGAAAAAATCTAACTAACGAGGTTAATGACCGATTGTTAAAATAAAGTAACCGATATTTTAGTCGGCAGACCTATTAAATTAACAAACAAATTCTAAATTAATATTCCTAATCATCAAAAAGCCACACCAGTCTTCTGAGTGAATAGTTCATAAGCGTTAGTTAAATGATGGAATGAAATTAACATAACATAAACTGACCATACTTTATTCATTGTTTAAAATGATAACAATGTTTACCACAAGAACATAATGTTTGAACCTACAAATTTTAGATTCGTCCAAAGATACTTGAGAAATCACATTTTAAAAAATGACTACAAAATCAAACAAAATAGCGCGTATACAGTTCCTGATGTAAACATTAAAACGATATCCATCGTTCAGATGATCTTCTAGGTAGGTTATGTACTAATCAGCGAGTAGAATACAAGAAGCTGAAAACATTTTTTATTTAAGTCGAAAATATTACGAAAAACTAGATTTAGAGAAAAAACAAGGTAACAGACACGTTCAACATAATATGGCAATCCAGTGGCATACATACAGTTCTACTTCAATTCGCTGAAAGAGCGGAATATTCCACCTGTTTCCTAGTTCTTTATTTTTGGTTTTCATTATAGTTTCATTTCATTATTTAGTAAACTGTGCAAAATTCTTCGTTCAACTAACCAACCAAATATTACATTATTTCAATATCGTTTAGGTAAATAACATGAAAAAATCGGTAGACGATTTAGGGAATTTCAGTAAATAAGTAATTTTAATTCATGACATAACTAGAATGATAATTTTGTAAAGTTTTAACAAACGATATTGAAATCTATTTACATAAATAAACTAATAATTTCTAAAGGTTAAGATTACCTCTATTAATTTGACTTTCTAAGTGATAAGAGTAAATTTTTTTCATAGCCAAAAATTAAAACTAAACTGATCTAGACAATAATGTCTAAATTAATCTATTTGGCAGGAACCTTTAGTGATTAATACTTACAAAACACCAAAACATTAATATCAGTATTAAAAATGTTTTAAATAATGCCAACTCTGTAGAAAAAGCACAAGCTAATACATAAATCAACATTATTATGGTTGGTGAATAGGGTTTTGATGTGTAACAGTGAAAGTAAATTTAATTGGTCACGTAGTTTGAATAAACAGGCACTCAACTTACTAACTATTAAATATATGAACTCCTTTTACCTTATTAATTTCTACTCAGGACTGACTGAAAGTAACTGCTAGTAATCGTATGGAATAAAGTACTATCTAGCGTTATTATGTTTCTTTATTATTAACCATGAATCATATATCTGATATGTGATCTATTCTCCATATTGTGTACAGTTCCAGTGTCAAATTCACCGGTATTATAAACTCAACTACCCAGACCAGTCTTATTATCACATTATTGTATTAGCGTAGTTATACTGTAGAGAGGAAAAATATTTGAAATAACCTGTTATATCAAGTTTGCCATTATTAAAATGAATGAACAGAATATTGACGAATATACGAAAGCAATGACACTAAATGATCAAGTGACGATTACTCACGATAGTGAATTTATTGACTCAGAACCCCAAGTGAATTGAGATCAAAGACAAAACCAATACGGACATAAGAATGGGTTTTTTATCGGAGAGAAGTGCATACTTATAGCAAACTTGTTATTGACAGAACACGATTGCATTGAATCAGTCTTGTAGGTCACTCTCTAATCAGTTAAGACTTGAACGTTAGGGTTAATTCCTGACTAGAATATCAGATTTCAAGGAGGTTTCAGATAAAAAACATGTGATTTAGTGGGGAGATAAACTTGCTACAACATTTAACATTTAGGGAACTCCAATGAAATGTGAACACAAAAAACAGTTGTGAAATGCATTCCCCTGTAGACGAATATTACCAGATGACGATTAAAACTGTACAAAAAGATTGTCATCACCCACAATTATACTGATTTGATCTTAATTCTATCTGATTTCGTTATCCTGAGGTTTCATGACTGAGGAATATATATATATTTTCACAGATTGAACTCATGAGTCAGTTGAAGCTAGACCACCATTGAAAACCTGGAAGCACTGGACGGCCGTTTCGTCCTAGTATGGGACTCCTCAGCAGTGCGCATCCCATACTAGGACGAAACGGCCGTCCAGTGCTTCCAGGTTTTCAATGGTGGTCTAGCTTCAACTGACTCATGAGTTCAATCTGTGAAAAGTTCTAAAATAAAAATCTCCACAAAACACATTCTGAGAATATATATATAGTTTAACCGTTTCCTACGTATTTAACATCCTTTACTGGACGTATGTATGTATTTGTGGCTAGTAAACTGGAAATTAATTCACAACAGGAAACAAAAACAAAACATTATCAAACCGTTAGGACCTATTAGCACTACACAACTTACAGATAAATGGATAAATACTATTTGTGTTATTTTGGATTGGTCAGCAATTACAATATCAACCCGACCGAAGCTGCTACCTTGACGCGGTGATCGGGGTTGCCTATCGTGATAACCCAACCGAGCTATATTGGCTGGAGCATATGTTCCTGTAGGTTCTACCATGCCAGGCAGGTCGATTGGAGAACGGTAAGACTAAAAGCAGCAACTCAAGGTCTGAGGGAGAAGTCGTACTGCTGACTGTAGAGAGGTGTGACAGCAGTAAGGTGTTTTCCTCAGACAACCAGCATCTGCAGCGATGCTGCCTTCCCACAAGGAGGGGTGGGGTTGGAAAAGGTCGACCCTAAAAATGTCACACCTCACCTTACCTCAACGGATTTCCGTCTCCGGCAGTAAGGCCATTTGAAGAACGGAGCTAACACATTAAAAACCTTCCACGAAAAGGCCGTGCGCGACCGGACTCAAGCAGTTGTCCCTTGGGCTTGGCGGTCACGCTCCCAGGTCTTTAAGACCAATACTAATTTAACTTCCTTTTCAGGTTCCTCAAGAAATACCCTTCCACGGTGTGGACAGCCGGGAAGTGACACCAGCCCTCATACCCGTAACAGCACACGAGACCAAGTTGGTCACATTCAAATCCTTCCTACACCTCCTTATACCACTCTTATCTCCCCGACTAATCCTTCTCACGTCCTTTCTTCACCTCGCACCGCTAGGGCAAAGGATTCGAGTACGCGGAACGCTATTCCTGGTCTCCTGAAAACACGCGCTAAACTACACGTAGGAGCTTTTAAAGTCCGAACACTGTGCCGAATAGGACACCAGGCTTCCTTAGCTAAAACTTTAGAATCTCGCGCCATCGATGTGTGCTGCGTCTCCGAAACGCGCATACAGGATCCGAGTAGCGTCATTCACTTGACCTCACCATGCCAAAATAAAGAATCGACTCGATTCACACTTCGTGTATCTGGAAGCCCTGATTCTGCTTCCCGTGGCCTCGCCGGCGTAGGTATAGCATTGAGTCCTAGGGCAGAACTAGCTCTCTTAGAGTGGATCCCAGTAGACAGTCGTTTGTGCGCTGTCCGACTAAACGGAACAGTAAGGATCCGAAAAGATAGGGACACTCGTCGTTGCCTCTTCGTCGTCTCTGCCTATTCTCCCACTGACTGCAGCACAGATGATGTAAAACATGAGTTTTACAGAAAGCTCTCCGACCTTCTCCGAAAAGCTAGGCACTCGGATGTAGTAATAATGGCCGGTGACTTTAATGCTCAAGTAGGTAAACTAAGCGACAGGGTAAGACACCTGGGTGGATCTTATAGCATCGTGGCTCAAAGAACAGATAATGGCGACCGTCTGTTGCAGCTATGTTCAGATAACCGCCTGTTCCTTGCAAATACTAACTTTAAGCATAAGGAAAAATATCTTTTAACATGGCGACCCCCTAATTCGTCCCAACGTTGAACCCAAATAGATCACATCGCTATCAGCCACCGATGGAGGGGCTCGATAGAAGACTGTTGCTCATTCTGGAGCACATGCTTAGATTCAGATCATGCTCAAGTACGAACACGTATCTGTCTGCGTCTTACTGGACGTAGGAAAGACGCTGCAAGTAAACCTCTTAGGGCCCTACTTAATGATAGTCAAACTAAGAGTATATTTCAGGAACAACTAGGAAAACAGTTAGGCAGCCATGTATGTGATGCCCACCCCGAGGCAGCATGGAATGATATCCGAAAAGCTGTGGAAACAGCAGTGATATCTGCTAGTACGGTAACCCGTAAGGTTAGGGAGCAACACTAGATCTCAGCAGCATCTATCGCACTGATAGATGCTCGGAAACTCATTCCATATGGCTCTGAACATAATGAGGAGCGAAGTCAGCTTAAGCGCAAGCTGACAAGAAGTCTACGCAATGATCGTGAACAGTGGTGGGTAGCGAAAGCAAGAGAGATGGAAAAGGCAGCAGCAATAGGTAATAGCAGACAATTTTTCAGACTTGTTAAGGAAACCGGTATTAGGAAACCGACTGTTAGCGAAACACTCTCAGAGAAAGATGGACATATTATACATTCTTAATCCAGGAGATTGGATCGATGGGCAGAACACTTTAGGGATCAGTTCAACTGACTTTCAGCCACACTTCGGTTTCCAACGATCTCCAGTCAACCTGAATGTCAAGTTAGTGTAGGTCCTCCGACTCTTTATGAAGTTGAAAAAGCCATAGGAAATCTGAAGCAAGGGAGAGCAGCAGGCCCTGACAGGTTTACTCCTGAGATCTTTAAGGATGGTGGTTCAGTATTAGCAGTGAGATTAACCGAGGTCTTAGGTAGAATTTGGGAACTGGACGTAATCCCATCTGACTGATCTCAATCACTGATTGTGCCAGTCTATAAGAAAGGACAAAAGTCCTCTTGTGACAATCACAGAGGAATCAGTTTGACAAATATAGTATCTAAAATATTAGCTTCAATAATACTTTGACGCCTAACTAAAGCTCGTGAAGAGCAGACTAGAGAAAATCAGGCTGGTTTTCGACCTGGACGTGGTTGTATAGATCAGATATTCACACTACGTAAGGTTCTAGAACACAGACACATATTCAGACACCCCACAATCGTAGTATTTCTCGGCCTTAAAGCAGCATTCGACTCTGTCGATCGTAAGGTTCTATGGCAGTGTTTGTCACTGAAAGGAGTACCAAAGAAGTACATTAACCTTGTAAAGGCTCTCTACTCGAACACAACTGGTCGAGTGAGCGCTTATGGCGAACTGTCATCAGAATTGATTACCTCAAGTGGTGTTCGTCAGGGCTGCCCACTCTCTCCATTCTTGTTCAACTTTGTCGTCGACGTACTTTTAGAGATAACACTTTCCTCGTCTAAATTTCCAGGGGTTGAACTTCTACCGGGAGGTTCACCTGTTGACTTAGAATATGCTGATGACATAGTTTTATTTGGTGAAGACGCTGACAAAATGCAGAGTCTTCTGACCACTCTAAGCAACAATGCAAGCATGTTCGGCATGCGATTCTCCCCCTCAAAATGAAAAATGTTGCTTCAGGATTGGGTTGCATTGACACCCGAACTGATGATAGGGAGTGAAGTAATTGAGCGTGTCGATCGCTTCACTTACCTTGGAAGTCTCATCAGCCCTTGTGGTTTGGTGTGTGACGAAATCTCAGCACGGATACAGAAGGCTCGACTAGCTTTTACCAACTTGCGTCATCTATGGCGTAGGCGAGATATACGTCTATTAACCAAAGGACTGCACAGCAGTTCGTTCCGTCCTACTTTATGGCAGTGAAATATGGCCGGTAAGAGTAGAGGATATTCGTAGGTTACTAGTATTTCATCATATTTTATTTTTTATTTTAACATATAGATATTGGTACGAGGAGGCACCAAATATATATGCGCCACACAAATCTCATTCGACATATATGTGGGCTGTGGTACTGCCAGGGTACCCAAACCGAAGCAGGTGGTTTTCTTAGGGAGCCACACCCCGAGCTTTCGACCTGGAGGTCTGATCCACAAAGCAGTGGAGCATCGTGAGGAGATGCAGTCCCATGGAAGCCGGTGACCAACAATTGGTTCATACGCCATTTATTCCCGCAGGATACCGGAGCCCATGTGCACCACTGGTTTGGAATCCGGTTAAAGCGCCGGAAATTCGCTTTTCGTCCTCTCGTTTTCGTAAACAACACCCCCGCCACGAGAAGGCAGTGAGTAGGACTTCCCTGGCAGAGGCTATATACGCGTGGCCATGTGAGAGCATTTCGAGAGGGAGAGCGGGCTCTCCCCACTCTCGGCCGTACCAGGGCATTTGCTCGTATATCCTGGGACTATCGAGTAAGTAACGCAGTTGTTAGGAAACGGGTACTAGGTAAGGATGGCAAATCAATTGATGACGTAGTGAAACTTCATCAGTTGAGATGGCTGGGACACGTGTTACGTATGCCCAACGACCGACTGTCTCGACATGCGATGTTCAGTGGTATAGGAGAAGGTTGGAAGAAAGCTAGGGGCGGCCAGACCAAAACATGGCACAAGTTCGTGAAGTCACTGACAAGTGGACTGAGTCATGTTGGTAGGTGTAGACTACCTGGTTGGGGACCGCGAGATGATAGCAACCGATGGTTAGAGACCCTGAATGACATGGCTCAAAATCGTTTGCAATGGCGCAGGTGCATACACTCTTTGTGTTCTCCTAGTAGTTTGGGCTACAAATTAGTTTAAACGTAACAACTCCTAATATATGGATAAACTAGAGTTCCAGGCTTAAAGTAAGTAACGAGGCAAGCTTGAACATACAATGTGGATGTTGAGACCGAAATGCATGCGAACAGTGTAATATGTAGTGAAGTCAAATTCAAAATTATGTGCATAAATTTGACTGAAAATACACTTACTTAATTGCACTTTTCAAAGCTTTTACTTCGCCCTTAAGATTTGTACATTGTGTTTCTAATACATTTCGTTCATCTCTTAATTTTCGTATTAGTTCTGCAGCACTTCTTAATGTTGCAGCTTTAGATGCTCGAGCAGTACCACCAACTTCGGTTCCTGAAGACATCATTTGTTCATCAGATGTAAAATCTAACCCATTTGATGGACGTAATCCAACGCTAAGCATTTCACTAGGCATATCTGTATCCCCAAATGAATAAGTCCCAGATATGGAAGGCATTTCTAGATTGCTAAGATGTCTGCGAGCTGTCAGACGGTTACTACCACCAATATTATCTAAATTGGAGTGTAATTTTAACAGTTGTCGTAGAGTTTGTAAACCAGATTGCATAGACTGACGTCGTCGTTCTTCAGAGGAATTACCTAGAATATGTTTAGCTTGTTGATCATTTTGTTCTGAAACCGAAGGTGGAGAACACGATGGTGAAGTAGCATACAGAAATCCTTTATGGTTAGAAAACATTGGAGATAAAATTTCTGTACTTCCAAAACTCGATGTAGTAGTTGCTGAACCCTGTATCGAACAACTAGGAATTTGATTATGTTGAAGTGAGAATAAATTCCCAGCTGAACTGGAACGTCCAAGCATTGATGGATTACTTTCGATAATCTTAGATACTAGAAAAATGATAATAACACCATATTAGTTGTTGTGTATGAATCCAAAATGGGACAAATAATTAAAAGCTTTGCTATTCAGCAAAATAAAATCGAATTTTGTATGAGTTGCTTAAATTATTTAAGTGTAAGATATTTAAATCAATTGAAGATAAAAAAAGAGAATACATTTGAATGCCTTAAAAACAAACACTAAATAGGAAACGTCAGAAAATTGGATGCAGCTTCTGTTGTGACTGAATATTAAGCCGAGCTAGGTTCAAAGCTAAATATCAACCCATCGAAAAGTATAAGTGACGATTGACCAAAATTGAAGAATGCCATAAAAATGGAGAGTAAAGTCGCTTGCAGCTTGGTGAAACGTTCCGCTTATAAGCACTGGGTTTCTACAGGCTTCTTACAACTGGTTGAAGCACATCGGTCTACTCCGAATAACCACGAGTTTGGCCATAAATAAAGATTGTTACGCAATGAAATTATGCAAAATTCGCGTGAGGACCAGGTAGCCTGGTAATCGCAGCGTGCTAACAAGTTGAAAGCAGCAGCTGCACCTGGTAACTGCCGAAATCTCTTTCAAGCCATCCAAGACACTGGAAGCAAGAATTCTGGTGTTAGTGAAACAATATGTGAAGCTGATGGGATGCCAATCAACAACATCTACCGTCGTCTTGGACGATGGGTATGCTTTTACGAGGAACAACTCATCTGATCAGACTGTCGTTTTCTCCATGACCGGTAATAGCTGACCCATCCAACATGGCGTAAGTCCGCAAGGAATTCCAACTCTTGAGGCGCTACAAATCACTAGGCCCAGATGACTTACCTTCGGCCCTTTTTAAATATAGTGGCGACCTACTGGCTAAGGAACTGAGTTTTTAACAAACGGATAGAATTAGAGGGTGTTCTAACATCGTCGATTAAGACGATAGTTGTCTCTATCTTTAAAAAGGGATCATGTCACATACTTCGTAGATTGTTCAAAACCCGAGAAATATTGACTCACGAGAAGCAAGCTGGTTTTCGCTGTGGTTGAGAATGTAGTGACTATATTTTCACCCTCCACCAAACGTTAGAACACCGTCACAATTATCATAGACCAAAAATAGCGTTTCGGGACATCAGGGTTGCATTCGATCCGTTGGACAGGACTGTTCTCTGAGACTCTCTATTGAAGAAGGGTTTGCCTGAGAAGTTTATTAACATCTTGAAAGCCCTATATACAAGCACTTCAAGTGGAGTGAAGAGATACAACCATCTCTCGCCAATGTTTCATTCAAGCAGAAGGGTTAGGCAAAGTTTCCCAATTTCACCGTTTCTCTTCGATGTTGCCATCAATGATGTGCTGGAAACAGCTCTTATGGATGCAGGCAATGGTGGTGTAGATCTGTTGCCTGGAGAAACTCTTCGGATGATATTGTCTTACTGTGTGATGATACTCGAGCCAACCAATCCACACCTAATCAGTTGGCGATCAGTGTCCGTAGGTATGGTATGTGCTTTGCGTCTTCTCAGTGCAAAGTGCTTTTACAAAACTGGCAGAACCCCGTACTTGCACTCATTCTTGGTAGTGAACAGTTAGAAGTAGTCGAGGAGTTTGTGTATCTAGGTAGCTGCGTATGTATTGATCCTGGTGAGTGATGAAATCAATACGTGCCAGTCTGGGTCATCTTTAGCGCCTTCTTGATGTTAGTCTGGCTACAAAAGGTCGGATCTATAATAAGTCGGTGAAAACAGCCTTGTTTGTGAAACCTAACCTCTCTGAGTTGAGGATGTTAGACGACTCTCTGTGTTTGATTATCTCTGTTTCCGAAGGATTGCTGACATTCAGTGGCAACATCATGTTAGTAATGTAGCGGTTATTTATTATACTCACTTTTTCTCCATCTCTTCACAACCAATGTTTGTTTAAGTAAAATAAATAAATGTTTACTACAAGCCATAAATCCATTTCTTTGAAAAACAACTAGATTGTCAATTATCAATATAAAAAAGTTTTAGGAATGGACGCAGTATTGAACCTTATATTTAGAAGAAAGACAAATTAAACAAGTATTCCAGTGCTCGATTTCTGAGTACTATCTTGCTCAAACTTTTTTTTAGTATGCAAATATTCTACCTTCAGTGTACAGTAAGTCGTAGAAAGAATGTTCGAGGTTGATAAGTGAACAAAAGTGTCACAAACCCAGTTGTGTGTAATACATAAAATCTTAGATTTAATGGTAGAAATACTCAAAATATTTAACGAATCTCTTGCCTTAAAAATTATAAAAATAGTAAAAGTATAATGAAAAGATTAAATGCAATGACTAATGAACTGTTTGGACAATTGATGAATTTAAGAAAAAGAACACTAGTAAAATATTGGCACACTTACTGAAATCACAGTCGATATTCAACTGTGTTATTAAAGATATCTATCTACCTAGTGAATATAACGAATGAATAATCGACTCAAGTTTGCAGCTCATAGATCATAATTACTGGTCAGTATTATGTAATATTCATAGGTATCATCTATAAAACTATTAACTGTGACAGTCAGAACCATTGGTTTAGTGATGACATAGTAAGTTGCACCAATGTATTGTCATTAACTATTTCCAATATATTAACCTATAAAAATTGTATGTTTTCGGTTAGACCGAACAGTTACATATGAGAATAAAGGCAAAAGTAATCTCAAGCAGATTTTCTTAATTTATTTGTCCCAAGAAATGAGCTTTGTTTCACGGCATAGAAGTGAATTCTAACTTGGTCAAATGAATATTTTTATCCATAAACCTACCGTTTAAACATTTATCACTTGTGACTGATGCTTTAGGAAGTTGTTCCATATCATTTAGTGAAATATTGATTGCATTTGGAAAAATCTGTGGTTCAGTCCAACTTCCAGGTACCAAAGTTTCCAGCTCAGAATTAGAATCTTCTGTGTATGCATTCCTAAGTTCATTACTTGGTAGAGCAAACATATTCGATTCTGAAAGTGAACTACTAGGGATTGTGCACGGACCAGAATTACGACTAGAGAAATTAAAACCTGTATTCGATGAAACAGAAAGACTTCCATGGATTGATGTAGAAAGCCCGTTATTTCCTTTAAAAATAAGGATGGAGTCTTGTGAATTCTGAGAAGGAACAGCGCTGACATCAACCAAATAATTTGGGTTTCCCTGTGTACTTTGTACGGCAGAACCGTTTGGATCCAAAGTTTGTACGTTTGAATTTTTTCGTTCTAGCGGTAGACCAAGAGAGTTATGTGAATCAACTGAGCTTTGTTGAGAAATCAATTCAGTTTTATTAAAGTAATTATTGGAACCTCGCATTAAAAGGTCAGTAACACCGAAGCCAATAGATTCCGTCCTGCAATTTTTCACCAAAAGATTATGAGAGATTAGAAAAGATGAACCATCTGCTCGAGATACAGTTGGTGTCAAAACAGACAGATCAGGCTCATGGTTCTGAGTTACGGAACAGTCACCAGACACCCCATAGTTAGCTACTGGAGCTGATATATTCTAAAACAAGAATGCAGTAAAAAAAGTCCCATGACAAATAAATCGATAAACTATTGAGTCATTTGGTCAAAAACATCAAAAACCATACTTGGTTGATGCATAGAATCACATTTCAAAAAAATTTAATGAAAAATAAAATTATTTAGGCACCTACTCTATTAAGTTAAATGAAATAATTACTGTTTTACCTAAACGAATGGTTTGCTAGATAGTTAAAACAGAACCTGATTAGATAGTACAATACTACATCATCAAAATAATGTACTGCCATTAACTATCTTAAAGACATTGTTCTGTACACATCATCTTGAAATTCTTGTCGACCATGGTAGATTAGTGAGTGAAATCTCTCGTGGTTTTCATTGATATGCTTCACGAGCAATGTCACTGAGGTGTTTGTTTGTCTGATAGAGGGTAAATATACTGAAAGCCAGTCCAATATTTACTAATTTACGGCTATGAAACATTATTTCAAGGTTGATTTTATGTATTTATCTGTACAAATACATAAACATTGGTTTAAAAGAACACCAAAATATGCGTCACATAAAGTAGTCATGATTCGATTTGTGTGTGGGCTGTGATACTCCTCGAGCGCCCAAACCGAAACAGGTGGTTTTCTTAGGGGGCCACTCCCCTAGCCTTTGACCTAGAGGTCAAATCCACAAGGCAGTGGAGCAACATTATGGGATGCAGCATCATGATAGTCGGTGACCAACTATAGGTTTATACACCATTTATTCCCTAGCGATCCCGTAACATATGTGCACCATTGGATTGGAATCAGTGTTTTCCAACTCTCCTTGGTGGGCCCTCCGTCATCCATTGAGGAAATACACGTATTGATACTATTTCATTACTGGCGTGAAGTATTGCTCGTAGATGACGGCATCACTAAGCGAGTAACGCACATCTTAAGCACAGAACAATAGATGTGGTAAACCAGTTGATGAAGTTGTAGACATTAAATGGCTAAAATAGTTGGAAATTTTGTGTACTCCCTCCTGTTGTATCCCGATAAGAATCATGAATGGTAACTCTTGAGAACTACTTACGAATAATTACGATACATATATTTTAATTGTGTAATTATTAAGTAGCTAAACTATACATATTCATGTTCCTCTTATTATAAGCTTTATTTTGACTCATAGACTATTATTATACGATTTACCACTCTTGAATTATGCCCAGTCTATTAATTACAACTTCAACACAAAGTCAATCCCAGTAACCTACTAGAAAGACCACCGCCTGACAATTTCATCTCTCTGTACTTATGGGGTATGGCAACTTGAACCAATGTGCATACGTACTAGGTTGTACGTTGTGACTGACTGACTGGAAATACATTTTTACATGATTAAGTGTTCGAAATACGTTGTGTTGTTCTATTTTCAAGTGAGGGCTGTGATTGTGGTTAAAATAAAGAATTTTCACTACAGATTTTGTTAGTCCTTCCATCAAGGTTTTGAAGTTGAGATACTATGCTAAAAAACTGACAGTGATTTATTGGGTGATGTCTAGTAGGGTAAACACATTTAGCAGCAGCACAACCAAGCAGATTTTGAGAGCTGTATGTGATAAATTAATAAATGTATTATTTTGAGAAGGAAGAAACCAAGTAGTATATATACAGTGTTGCAAATTTGTTTTCCTCCAGAACCGAATTACTGCCAAGTTATGTAGAAACAAACTTATTGTTTCAATGTTTGTAGTCGGATTATATTACTATCCTGTAATCATCCCACTGTTTGTAATTACTTCAGGTGGGCGCTAATGATGACAATAACACTGGAGTTTACCCTAGACCTCTGGTTTTAGCCCTGGGAAGTGAATCACGGGGTCTCAGCGAAAATATTCTAAATGCTTGCGATTTATTACTACGTATACCAGGCTTTGGAGATTCAACCAAATTAAATCAATGTCTATCACAAAGTATTACATCATCTTTAAATGTATCCGTTGCTGCTGGTATTTTATTATATCAGTTAACTATGTTTCGGCATGGACACGAAGCTGTTGACAAATCCTCTTTTATTTCCCATACTGAATAAATCCATACAGTACATACAGTACAGCATACAGTACAGTAACAAAAGTGAAAATATATTGATGAAATCGTGAACTTGCATAAACTAAACAGGATTACAATATGATGTGCATGTCTAACCATCGGCCAGCTTAGTGGTTTATGCTCATTAACGAAGGAAAATATTGGAAAAGTTGAGACAGCACAGTATGAAAAGAGTTAACTCCATTGAGGCAATGACTGATTTTTCTAATCATAAAAAAAGCTGCATATTTGTTGGTCGAGTTTGAAAAGGAAACTACAACCAATGGTTAGAAACTACGAAAAAAAACTCATTAAGACTGGTTGTTCAGTCTGTTTATTTCTTTATTACCAGTAATAAATATTCCAGTTTTACATATCCTCTATTTACGATGACTAGTTACACTCTTTTGCTTTTTATCCTGTTAATTTTCCGACATTCTATTGGCTTTAGGTGTAACAGCTTGGATCAAAATACACTTATCCCAGACTCAAAATCGAGTGAATGACCTACAATTTCTTATTCAATTATTTTATGATTTTTAAAACTCGTTTGAAACAAACTTGATTCATCATCTGTATTTTACTTATACTGTTAAGTTCAAATGATAAAATTAGGTATATATTTTAACGTAGTGATATATATTAACTTCATATACAACGGAAATGACACCTACATGTCATAATAATAATAATAATATTAATAATAATAATAGTCAGTAGCGTCCTATGAACGATTTAAATTATTAATCTTATCAGGAAATCGCCGCCTGGAGTCCCTCCGGGGGCTACTGCCGGTCCCAAGCCCGGATAAAGGAGGAGGGTTGGGCATGGGGTTAGCGTCCCCATCCCGTAGAAAACTAACTCGCTAAAAAAACGCTAACCAGAAAAAATTGTTCAAACCCACATCCACAGTCACTTTTGGCTAGATCTTGTACAAATGTTTTTTTTCTATTTTATGGTACGATGTGGTTTGTTTGGTTTGTAATATAAATCTTGTATGTTTGATATACATGATTCATATCTCAGAGGCTGATTTTGGTGTTGCTGACTTAACAGGTAGGGCTAGGCAGGAAGAAGAACTGATAAAGACTCTAGACTGCTCATACGGGTTTGTGAGTCATTGGTTCTGTCGATAAATCACTGTTCTCTAACTGGTGGTATCATTACGCCATATATTAATAGGGCACAAGGCCATAAGTTATAACACCTTTTCCAGTCACTATTTACCGTATGCTATGCTGGTTAGCGTAGGAGTAAGTTTAAAAAAGAATGGTAGTTCTTAGTCTGATGCATGATGTCTGTCTAATGACTTTCGGTTTAAGCTATTGTTAAGGATGTTGAATCCCAAAATACTACATTTAGAAAGAGATCAAGTCACACACTACTTTAAAGTGAACTCTTTTCGTTGACTTTCAATGCGTTTTTACCTGTATGAAACCAGTTTTCCTTATTTTCAATGAATCCCGATTAAATTGATCAATTAACTGTAATATCGCTTTCAGAGAAGACTACTCAGTTTAATAACTATTTGTAATTAATGATCATTAAGTCGATATACAAGTGAATAAACCTGAATGTAATTAAATTCTTCTGGGGTCTCCACTAATCTTCCTTACAAAACATCACCATATATTGCACAGGGGATTGTCGTTGTGTATTGTATTGTGTATTAGCCTTCCAGTCTATCCCCCCTCCGTATTAGAATTTTTAAATCGCTATTAATTTATAAAACCGAACCCAAATCCAATTCACAACAACTATGTACGAGAGTGGGAACTTCCAGTTTAGAGTGAGGTTACTACATCCGATGACTAGAGACATGAAGTATACGAATCAAAATCAGCTATGAAAGGTCTAGATACATTAGTTCTTTTTCCTTATAGAATTTCCAGACAGCATTACTCGAAAATCTTCGGGTTGCAGTTTTACTTACTTATTTCTCGTTGCCTATATTTTTAACCACTGTTAGTGTTACTTCTAATTTTATGTCTTTATCTTTCATTTTGTTAATTCTTTTAAGTGGTGTTAAGGCGAAGTAGGGTAACTTAGACTGACACATTCCATATGCACTCAAAGACAGTAATCTAAGATTTCCAATATATTTATTTGGTCCTGTCCTCAGAAAACCTGATAACCAAAAATATTATGTACCATACAAAATAAGTTTGTAGTTGAGACGGGTTATTTTTGGGCGCCAAAACCGAAACAAGTGGTTTTCCTATGGGGCCACTCCTGAAGCCTTTGGCCCAACAGTCTAATCTACAAGCCAATAAGGATATCATCCTATAGTAAGCAGTGACCAGAAATAGGTCCCTATAACATTTGTTCCCTTTGGAACATGAAGTTCGTGTACACCATTTGTTTGGAACCAAGGTTTTTCAATCCCTTTATGTGAACCCTTTGCATCCATTGAAGCTGTCTAAATACTTGTTACCTTCTCACTTTCGCAAATAAAAATATTTTATGTGCACTCACACACCCTTGTGTTTTCTAGCACAGAAGTTAGCTAGAAACTATTGCTTTTTAATCAAGAAACTCTGACTACCCATGGAATCAACTGTTGTTTTTGAGTAGTAGAAAAGGTGAATAACTACCAATTGAGGTCCATGAAATTATATTGACGTACTGTTGAAAGTAGACTGCACTACTCGAGATTGGTTTTAGTAGCATGGATGCATTCACTGTTAATCTTTGTCTAAAGTTTAAGTTTCACTGCTATTCAATAAGCTTAATTTCCTCGGTTTCATTTCTTACTTTGAACTATGTCCCATATGTTCAGCTTTCTACTAGCACTGACATTTCTATTCCAACTCTTGTTCTGATCCTTTAATCTCTTTTTCTAAGTGTGAAAACTTGAACCGGTATACACTTTAGCCAATCGGCACTGTTTATGAGGTAATTATTAATGACTTATTCAAAACCTTGAACATGCTAAAGAATTGTATTAAACTCAGAAAAAACCAACTATAATGTTTCTGAGTGTATAGTGCACTCGCTGTTTGCCAAACGCCAGAGATGTCCACAAGATACATGCATAACAATCGAAAATCAATATGTTAAGTCCGGTAACATTTCAGACTCCTAACAACATAACTCAAAGTTCACCTCAGATCTAAGAACTAAATACACACCCATCATAGACTTCAAGGTTTAAAAAATTTAAAATCTTGCTTAGCTGATATGCGATGGTACAAAACCATTTTACGATTCTTCGGTTAACTAATTATCACGTAGTGAACAACAAAACAAACAACAACTATAACCAAAATTACCCATACTGAAAAAAACTAGCTTTTAAAGAAACTGATAAAAACTAAAATAACTTACATCCGCAACATTCAATGAATTAATCCTGGGGATGTCAACATTCTGTACTGTATTTATTGAATTAATGGATGAATGATCATTGTATGAATAACTAGGATGAGCGTAAGAATCTGGTAACCCTTTTGTATTTGTAAGAAGATTGGGGCCTTTTTCGACCTGAACTGACTTATTTGATGAATCGTTGAGGTGGATTAGATGTTTGTTGGATGAACTATCAAAGCAGTTTCCTGAATTGCTTAGAGCATTACAAAGTAAGGGAGACGAACACTTCGAAGTTTCCTGAAATGCACTAGTGTCCATGCAATCACTGGGCGAGTTCAAATTTTGACCTATGCTACTACCACGCAGTAAGGCATTTAAAAGAGCAGATTTGTTTGTATGATTGCCTTTTTCTTTATTCGATTCTACACGATAACCAAACGATTTTATGGGTTCAGCTACGTGACCTTTTGTGTGTATTGAACCTTTAGTTAATCCATAATCTGATTCCATGCTAACAGAATGGTTGCTGCTTTGGTGCTGACCAGCAACTCTGGATTGATGTTGGAAGTAGCGCTTCTGAGACACAGGAAACGATGGTCGATAAGGATGTGGACCATGGTAATCTGTTTCACTAACACTGTTATTTAAATAAGGTCCACACCCTTCACTACTGGTGGTAGCCAAATCCAAAAGACCAGATTTACGATTACCTGACAAAAATGATGAGCAGATTTGGGAAGACGAATCGACTACGCTAAGACGTTCAACAAGAGGTAGGTTACAACTTTGTTTGGCCTCTGGAAGAGGTGTAGTTGTGTTTGAGAATGTTGCTTCACACATATATTTGTTAAATGGGTAGTACGAGCTAGACCATGCATATTCACACGAATGTGCATCAGAAGAACTACATTGAAATGTCGAATTGGGGTCAATAGACTGAAAAATATTACACGATATGTCGTCGCATGAACTTCTATCAGGTTGAAGTTGTTGCAAACCTGGTTGCATTATATCGGCGTTTCCCAAGATAGGTAAATCTCGTCGATTTGGAAATGTTATCGGTTGATCAAAAAACAAATCTAGATTCTCATCTATGTCCATCATTATTTCCTCCATAAGTTTTGAAGACGTATTCTTTGATAGGTCACTAAACTGATACGGACATAGATCCGACCCTTCGAGTAGTTCATTGGCACATTGTATAATTTGTCTGTTTTGAGAACTGTATATCCTGTTTTTGGCAAATGCTCTCCAAAGGCGATACTCTTTACACAAGGTACTTACGCGCCTTTTCCAATATTTTCCTTCTAATATAACTGCCTTTAAAAAAATATATTAGGAATTTTATAAAATTACTTCAGTTTTAGAATGATCTTCATATACAGGTGTCTGGAATTGAACAACAACTGGCTTTAATTTTTTGACATCTAAAAGTAAGTAAACAAACAGGAACTAACATTGCATGTGGTATTCTCTCCAAACTATGTTGTTGAGTCGGATTTTGTTTTTTATTGCAAATCTTAGTCCACGAAATTTGTCCCATTTCGGGCTCGTCAGCTTTCCACTATAAGCGATCTCCAAATACTTGAAAAGAGAAGCTAGGTTCTCAAAAATCAGCCTGTTTTTATTCTTAACAGTTGACTGATTACTGTTATCTTTGGAACTGTATGTAGTGACGTTTTCAGTAAATACATTATTCGAATGTTCTGTCTCATCCTCAGAATCTTCAAGAATGCTAACCATAAAATGACCTGAATGAATTTCATGAGTTTTCAAATCCATAGCAGATAAATAAAAACCTCAGGCGAGGTTAACCTTTGTTTACCCAATCCCAGCAACTCTAAGTGAATTGTTATGTCCAGTCGTTAATAAGTTTATGTTTAGAAAGTAGTCCCGTTGTCTTTGCTGCTGAAAAGTGAAGAAAATAATGCGATAAGTCAGCGGCAAAATTCTAACAGACCAACATAAGAATCCAGAAATGCGAACAAAAGTGTATTGATGATTTACATTCCATGGTGAAGGCAAGTGTAAACAATTAGTGACGTACAAGAGCGAATTTAAGACACGGGTAACTAAAACTCAATAAAGATTTGAACGTCACTTAGCTTCCTTATTAGAAAACGATGTCCAAAACACTTTTTGGCCCCTGAAGTGTCGACCAGTCGCTTATGAGACTAATCGGCGAATAAAACGAGGTTATCGGTGCTGTTAATGGTCTGCTCCAGCAAAAGCCTAAATCAATAAAAGCGAGCACCAATAGGGGTGACTTATATACGAGCATGCGTCGAAAGGGCTAGAATCAAAAATAACTAGCGGTTCGTTTTAAAATGGCCCAATTAGGTAGTCAGTGCAGTTGCAAGCTACGAAAAATACAAAAATATCAAAGTAGATTACAATCATTGTATTAAAAGCACGATTGCACGTAAAATATCCAAGTATCTATTCATTTAAAATAGTGCAAAATATATATGTAGTGAATCATATTCCAAGTTATATGGTTTACACCTGATTCGGATTGGATCAGAATACACAAAAAGTAAAACGTATGGTGAATTTCTGATAGTGAACGATTATACATTCAGGAAAGAGAAAACGAATAATGACGAAAACATTTGGAGAGTACGGTGAGGTTTGGATCACGCCATCAAATGAAACCTGGATATTTTAAAAAGTATTTAGCAGAAGATAATCATGCTCCACATAAAGATAAAATAAATGTAGAGAACTAATCACCATGGTAAAAGGTCGAGCGGCCTCACGAACAGAATTGGCACATCAAATTGTAGCTACAGCACTATCTGGCTTAAAAGATGCAGTACCAGGTCTACTTTTAACGGGGATTCGGATGAGGTAGATAGTTTATTGTCTACAACACAACCATCAAGTGCTCTTACTAGATGAGAATTCATTGGATAAGCTAACTTGTTTGAATACAAAGTCGAAAATCCTCATCTGTATAATAGCCGACCAAGTAGACAAACGAATTTCGATCCCAAAAACTCAATCTAGAATTATTGGAGGAATATGCCCAAACCTATTTTAATAGAAGATCCAAGTCCTCCCCACCTTTGTCTACTCAGAGACACGGAATTTATGGTATGAATTCAATACGGTTATTCCCTTGATTAACAATCCCGATGAATGACAAAAGTACAAATTCATGCGTTCAACTTAGAAGGAGTCGATTACCGCGATTGATTACGAACATTCAGCTTTATTAGCATTTTGACAAGTACGTCTAAATGTATTACACAGTCGTTTGCATCAACTGAGCCTAATTATATGGCGAAGACTACAAGAGTCAGGAAACCTTCAACAACTTGACAACAGACAAAGACTTTGCTTTGTGCATCCATCAGTCGGCAACATAAGTTTTTGTGCCAGTGGCGGGTGTCGTAACTACATTTAACAATTTAGTCAGGTCACTGATTTACGTAGAGAATAAAAAGAAATCATGTTATTAACGAATTGCTCTGAAGATACCTACACCAAATGACCTACAAAACGCGGAGGCCTCAGTGATCAAGTTTTCTGAGCTGTCCCGTAGAATCCCTACATTAACTTATGAAAGATCCTCCTAAGATAAATGCGATGACAAGGGGTATAGAGATTATATCCAGCCCACCTTAGAATACAAAAAACTATCGATACTCAGAAGGGACAAGTTAGGTGAAATGAAAAACGAAGTTTGTTAAAGAGATCTAGTAACAGTAAGTTAAGCAAAAAGAAGTAGCTTTGAAAATAGAACTGTATGTAGGAGACTACGAGAACAGATTGATGCTACAAGACTGAAACGAAATATATTGCAATTTGAATTTACACGTTTGGATATAAGACTTACAAAAATTGGCGGGACTATAGTTTATGGACGAACCAATCAGATATAAGAAAACGGATTTGATGCTGGAGCGAAATTCATTCGTCCATTTGGTTAAAAAGCGTTTATGGCATTTTAGTTTATGTCAGTTCGTGATGAAAAGCCTGAATCTAATTTTTAACCTTAACTATCAACTATAAGTCATAATTCTAACTCCTCATACTAGTTTATAACACTCATTTGGTCCTAGTTATTAGCTGGACATTCTCAAGGACACTTCAGCGTCACTCAAAGGTCGTCCATAAATTAGTCTCACCCAAAATTTACACGAAACATTTACGTCAATATCAAGCTATTACGCAGTTCCCTCGACAAGCACTTCCGATTTTACACATTTTCTCACTCAATGGGTTAGTAGAATTTGTACATATTACAGTGAGCAGCACTTCAGTGAGGGTGGATGAACATAATCGATATCCAACTTCAATTAACACGAGGTGATTGATAACTAAGACTAAACTCAAGGTACACTTATAAAGAAAACGAGCGTGGTATACTGGCTAACTCGCTGGTGATTGGATGCCTACTGGTTTCCAAAACCATACTGCTCTGAGACAAACGTGCTTACTTAGATTTCAAAATACTTGAACTCACAAAAAACTGTCGGACTAACAGGAATTAGTAGAGTTGAGTGGTGGGAATATCCTTCATTAGACGTCTATGAAGACCTGAAACCATTAGGAGACAACAAGGAGCCAGTGCAAAGTTGTCTTTATATATTTTTGTGATGATACAACATAAACCAGCTGACGATTGTAATAGTGTTTCGGTGCTTACAGTCTCAGGTCCTCCGCGAATTATAGAGCCCGTAAGCTCTCTAAATTAGATCAAACACGTATATGAAGGATAGTTTGCCCAGAAAGCAAATGAATGATTCTTTCAGAGCTACGTTATTGAAACCAGATTTCATCACTGACAGTCATTTGACTGACCTAATAAAGTTAACTTATGTGAAGCTCAGACGATATAACGCCAAATCGGTAATAGAAAACACCAAGTATGAAGATGTCATGGGACAACATGCACTGACTAGGAGAAAAGAACGAGAATGGTGACAGATTTGCAGATCATTTGACTGACTACATGAAGGTAACTTATTTAAAGGATAGACAATATAATGGCTAGCTTTAATATATGGGGGTTCTGAAAAATTTATGTTGTTTCTTCCAAAAAAAGCCAAAGGAAACGAAAATACCTGACAAACCGCGGAAACAACTGACCCGCGGGGCTTTCCGAAGACAAGGTCACAAAGTACGGAATAAAACTAATATACAATATTTATGTACAAGTAAGTATCGGCCAAATAATCCCTAATACATTTGCCTTAGTGTAAAGGTATGGTTTTATGTATTCCGTTGCATCTAATGAGACTCGTTCAACTGAAAGAATGCAGTGGTCATATTTTTCAGTTTGGATAGGGCAGGAAGCTTGTTGGCCTTAGTTAGTCCTGGCAGTGATGGTCTCTCAGTTGATCCAACTTTCCTTTGGAAGGGTCGACGGAGTGAACTTCAATCGCTTATTGAGGTAACGAATTCCATTCGTTAATGATTCAAAGGGAAAGTCGATAGTCAGTTGACAAGTAAGTTGTTTCGGGTGTGTGAACTTTTTCAGTGTCCTCGTAAATCCTGTGTTTTGGAAGACAAGGAAAATGAGAAAATACCAAACCCAAATTTGCCATCGAGTAATTTGAAAGATGTGATCAAGTCACATCTAGTTATTATATACAACAACGGGAATAGATTTAGCTTCGCCAGTTGAGCATCATACGAAAGCTTTGCTTTTCCTGGAATCAGCTTATTTGCTGTTCACTGAGCACTTTCCGAAAACTCATTGTCTTTTTTCAGAAAGAGCTAGTCGCTTTTGTGCATTACTCAAGTTTAGGACGCGCGAATACTGTATACAAAGTCAAAAACTTTTCAGCGTCAACACTACTAAAGGTCCTACATATTGACCACAAGTTTCTAAAACCTTTGGAGGTTATTGCACGGCAATGTGTAGTAGTCTTTAAGTTTTGGCTAACGATGACTCCTAAGTCATTGTGTGTCTGGAAAACGGGGAGTTCAATGTTATTCATCATGTATGTATCTGTACCTTGATGACCAATATGCATCACAATACACTTGGAAGCATTTATCGGCAACTGCCAGGTTTGAGACCATTCAGATAATTCCCCCAGGTCGTTTTGAAGTTCTAAGTTATCAACCTTACTTCTTGTCGCTCTCCATATCTTGACATTGTCAGAATATAGCAAAACCGATGATGATAGGAGACGAGGAAGGTCATTTACATATAAGAGGAATAACACCGGCCCCAAAACTGTACCCCGAGACACTCTGCTAAGCACAGTTTCATAGCTAGACAACATGGGGTTCACCCGTACACTTTGTTGGCGCCCTAATAGGATGTCTTTTATCCACAATAATAGATTGCCCCAAACTCCGACATTTATTAACTTACATAACAGTCAGTCGCGAGAAACTTTGTCAAAATCTTTGCTGGAGTCAATGTAGGCTACGTCTTTAAGAGCGCACCAGCTCTCACGAACCACTAATAAGTTAGTGAGACAGGAACAACGTATCCTAAAACCATACTGCGCTTTCGAAAGCATCCGGTTTTCATCGACATACTTAAACAGCTCCTTCCGAATAATCTTTTCTAAAACTTTAACAATCACGCTAGTTAGATTAACGGGTCGGTAGTTCTCATGTTTATGTTTCGTACCTGTTTTAAAGACGGGACTTACTATGGTGTTATTCCAGTCTTTTTGTAAACAACCCTGGGTTATGGATAGATCAAAGCATATACTTGAAGGATTCGCAACGACGTTAGTTAGTTCGAGTAACCTAGAATGCGTTTCATCGGGTCCTTGTTTAGCAGACCAAAGACATCGAGTTCTTTAATTATCACATTGTCCAGTGAGCGGAGGAATATTTATGAACTGACAGGAAGGGTTTCCCACGGTATATAGGTTTTTAAAGTAGTTTGACAATTCTTGAGCTCTTTCATAGTCATCCTCCACTACTAATGAAACATTATTGTCTCCCTATAGTGCTGGAATACTTCCTCTTCTCTCAGTCCTTCGGTCTACACACGAATACAAGTGTTTAGGACATTATTTGGATTCTTTAGCAACTTCTTCCTCGTACAATCTTCTAGACTTATGGAGCGTCGAATATGTGTATTCCGAGCTTCTCGATATTGAGATTTCGTCTCAGCTGTATCCAGTAACCTAAATCTATCCTACATCCTTCTCCACTTACGGAGGAGGTTGCGAACCTCACTGCCGAACCATGATGACGAGTTTCTCTAAACCCTTGGTGTAGTCCAAGGGATATGGGGTGCGAAAACTCTTAAGTATAAACCTCGAAATAAATACCAAGCTGTTTCAATTGGGGACCCCAGCTCCATTGTCCAATGTACTCACGATGCTGAGTGCATAGTATCTTGTATGTTTGCTTCCCAGATGTTAGGTCTGGGTTGAGCTCATGCGTCCTCGTTTTTGACGACGATATAGAAGTACAAGTCTAGAACTGCATGATCACTTTTACCTGGAGGTGGCATGTATTTGAGGTTCGTGACGTCATCCTCACAATGGGTCAATATGAAATCTAATAAGAGTGATTCAGACTCCAGGTCGCACCTATTCGCTTCTTTTATATGTTGTACTAGGGCACATATGATGACCGCATCGACTAGTTCCTGCTCGAATGAATTTTCTGACAGTTCAGTTCTCAGATTTGTCGAATTTACCATGGGTGTATTAAAGTCTCCTAGGATTATACACCAACCACTTTGTGATTAAGTATTGAGACTATCTAGCAAGACCTCGTTTACCTCACAGCTTGGACTGAGGTAGACCAAACCAATGGGCAGCTCTTGTCCCTTGCATTTCAAGCGGCAACTAACTATTGTACACGTCCCGCTCTCATAGGATATAAAGTCGATAATGACAAATGGGATGGTATTCCAAATGAACAGACCTACTCCCCTTCCTTCACACCTCTGGATTCTGTCGGCTCATACCAACGTAAAACCTTCAAAATCAAGTTTCGTACTGTCTATAGGCCGCGTCAACCAAGTTTCTGTGACTGCAGTTACATCTGGCTTGTTAGAGTCAATCTGTACACCTGATCCTGACCTCTTATTGGGCAAGCTACAGGTATATGTGTAACAGATCCGAAGCCTATTTAAATGCCTTTTTGCTGCATCCAGAGTAGCTTCGGTATCCTTTTCTGTCGATGCTTTACAATTCGAGAACTTACAATTTTTAGGTCTTTTGGCGGGCGTCTAACCTAAGTTTTAGTTCTTTTTCGGATTCCTGTCTTTTTACTTGATCTGCGAGCGTTAAGGCTTTACGGATGAAAACTCCCAAAGATTTAGTTTATGTCCATTCTATAAAATTAAGCCCTGTTCATTAGGGGGTCTAAATACTACTTGAAGCATCCTGGTTTGATTTTATTTCAAGTTCATTTAGTTTCCTAGTCTACACACCTTTATCAAAGTGAATCTGGAGATATGTTGAGGCATAAGCTGGTTTAACAAGCGTTTTATCAAATAAATCACATGCTAAAAACGAATTTTTGATTCCGAGCTTTCAATTTTCTTGATTCGATAAAAGATAACTGACCATTTGAAAGCTGCAGGCATTAAACTTCATGGTACCAGCCTTTGCAAACGTCGCACTGCATGCAACTTTCAAATTATTCTGATGGTCCAAATGGCTCAGAACGGAATGGAAGAAGCATTCGCTTCACGGGCCTCTGTATCTAATAACAGTGGATCACCGATGTCATCAGGTAGGAACCTAGGCGTATTTAACAATAAAAGAGAATAAATATGTAAAACTATGGTCTACTATGATATTAGTGCTGCTCTAACAATAGACCTAATCCTAAATTTGTAGATTTGTCATGATATAACTGCCTAATCTATAAGATCTTACGTGGAACTCACACCATCGACTACGCCAACTCACTGTATCGTACCAATTACCAACACATGATGTAGAGCAAGGTTAGGCTAGAGAAAGAACAATATATTTAATATGAATAGAAGAAATAAGATAACATTCAGCAGGGACCACGCCTGCACGGCCGAGCCATGCCGTTCGATCAACTCTAATTCACTCAACTCATTGTTCGCGCCTTCTCCATTGTTAGGTATTTCCCCGAGTTAAATATTGAATATCTATTTTCTGAGTAGTCTCGTGTTCACAGCTTTGTGGATTGTGTGGCAATTGTCTAATGCCACTACAAATATTAGTCAATGGCAACGAGTCGTTAAGGATATGTCAAGCCTTCCCTTGAACGACTCCTGTGAAGTCGCTTGGACTACCTCAGTTAGGAGTGGATTTCGGCACTTGACTACCTATAAGGAGTAGAAAGTGTCCCTAAATAGTCAACACTTTGTCTAGAGCAATAAATAAAGTTACAATCTATGGACATTTTATTCGTATTCACCTCAAACACATCCTGCAAGTTAAATCTCAACCCTATATGAATTTTCATAGGAACAGTTTGAATGACTGATTTCCAAAATGTTGTCTATATCAGTTTAGCTTCATAATTGACAAATTTAACCGAGCTTGTTCTCATTGTTTTCATGATTTTACATTTGGAATGTAACAACTATCGATTATGTTAAGGTAGATGTCTATTTAAATATGATACAAGTATTTGGAGTTTGGTAACACCTTAACCAATAACACATTTCATAATCGAAACATACCAACCCAGTGAAATCAGAAGCCAGAAGCGAAGAGGTTGGAAGATATATTTGATAGGCTATCGACATGTCGAGAAGTGACTAATCTAGGGAGTTGAAGGAGAAGTGAAGCACGGTGTACTCACTCGTGATCTGGTGTGGTCAATATCAAGTGTCGAAGACTTACAGAGCTATTGATTTTAGGGGATTTATTTACCTCTATATATATCCACTGATTATTGTTTCCAATTTCATCATGAATACTGCCTTTATTGATTCCGCCTGTAATCCTTCTAGAATTACCTTCGGTTCTAAGCCTGGATAACTAAGGAGAGCTTGACATTAGGACAGCAACACCATCTCGTAGACAACAGCATTGCTAGATGAACACTAACCAGAATAAACAAATTAAACATGCTGGTTTCCAAAACCATACTGCTCTGAGACAAACGTGCTTACTTAGATTTCAAAATACTTGAACTCACAAAAAACTGTCGGACTAACAGGAATTAGTAGAGTTGAGTGGTGGGAATATCCTTCATT